CTCCCAGCGGCGGTGTATCTCCCAGCGGCAGTGTCTCTCCCAGCGGCGGTGTCTCTCCCCGCGGCGGTTTCTCTCCCAGCTCCTGTCGCTTCGCCGCCGCCGTCGTCGTCTCCGCCGCCGGAGGAGGAGAGAGAGGGAGAGGTTCAGAGGGAGGATGAGGAGAGGAGGGCGCGCGGTTCTGCTCCAGGAGCGCTCCGAGCAGGCATGCGCTCCGAGCGGCGCCGCAGCGCTCCGTCGAGGGGCGCCCGCGCGCAGAGTGGCTCCCACCCCCTACCTGAGGTTCCCTGGGGCTCCTGGGGTCCTTTCCCTTCTTCATCCTTTTCCTTTCCGTTCCTTCTCCTCCTCCTCCTCCTCCTCCTCCTCCTCCCCCTCCTCCTCCTCCCTTTTTCTCTCTCCCCCCTCCTTTCCCTCTCCCTCTGCCTCCCTCGTCCTCCTTTCCCCCCTCCCCTTTTTCTTGTTCGCTTCACAGGGGGGGAGAGAGGCAATCGTGTAATCGCAACATATTTCCAGAGACGAAAGAGGGTGGGCGACCCCCCGCCCGACAACTAATCTTTTCAGATTCGTTGTCATTCAGCCTCTAGTAGTAGTAATACTAATAGTAATAGTAATAGTGCTAGTAAGAGTATTTGTCATCGCAATCGTACTAGTAATGTAATGGTAATAGTAAAACTATTAGTGATTGTAAGAGTAACCGTAAAAAAGGAATAGTAACAGTAATAGTGAGTAAGGGTAGGTGTTTTAGTAGTAGTAGTAGTAGTAGTAGTAGTAGTAGTAGTAGTAGTCGTAGTAGTAGTAGTAGTGGTAGTGGTAGTAGTAGTAGTAGTCGTAGTAGTAGTAGTAGTAGTAGTAGTAGCAGTAGCACCAGTAGTAGTCGTAGTAGTTATTTTAGTAGTAGTAGTAGTAGTAGTGGTAGTCGTAGTAGTAGTAGTAGTAGTAGTAGTAGTAGTAGTAGTAGTAGTAGTAGTAGTAGTCGTAGTAGTAGTAGTAGTAGTAGTAGTAGTAGTAGTAGTAGTAGTAGTGGTAGTAGTAGTAGTAGTAGTAGTAGTAGTAGTAGTAGTGGTAATCGTAGTAGTAGTAGTAGTAGTAGTAGTAGTAGTAGTGGTAGTAGTAGTAGTAGTAGTAGTAGTAGTAGTAGTAGTAGTAGTAGTAGTAATAGTAGTAGTAGTAGTAGTGCTAGTAAGAATAATTGTGATAGTCGTAGTAATACTAATAGTAATTGTAATCGTGATAGTACTTGTAATAGAAATAGTAATCGGAATCGTAATCCTGATAGTAATAGTAATCGCGATCGTAACTTTAAAAGCTTCAGTGCAAGTACTAGTAGTACTAGTGCTTGTAACAGTATTCGTACTAGTAACGACACTCGTAATCGTGATCGTAATGGTAATGGTAATGGTAATGGTAATGGTAATGGTAATGGTAATGGTCATGGTAATGGTAATGGTAATGGTAATGGTAATGGTAATGGTAACGGTGATAGTAAGAGTCAACGTAATAGTTATATATATGTATATATAGTAATAGTAGCAGGAGTCATAGTCATATTGCTAAGGCCTTAAGGCTGGCGCCGCCGACCCTGAATACGACGACGACGAATACGGGGAGGGGGGGGAGGGAGATTAAGGTGGAAGGGGTGGAAGGGAGCATCAGAAGGCGAAGGAGGTGTTCCCCATGTGGGCCGAGGGAATCGTAGCAGAGACAGGCGGGGAGCCTTGTGGCCTGCGGCCCTTCCCTCCGCCGTGCTGGAGTTGTGGTTGAAAGGCCCCTTGGATGCTTTCGGGCCTGTTCGGGCCTCTGTTGGGCCTCTTGGGGGGCCTCTTGGGGGCCTCTTCGGGCCCCTTGAGGGGCTCTCGGGGCCTTCCCGGGGCTTCGTGGGGCGGGCCGCTCGACATGTCGGTTCGTGGTCCTCTTCTTGGGTCTGCTTGGGGCCCTCTTGGCGCGTCTTGGCGCTTTTTTGGGCTCCGGGACGCCCAGGCCCCCCCCTGGGCCCCCCCCCCCCTCGGCGGGGGAGGGATCAAAGGGAAGGGGCTTCCCTTGGACTTAAGTGCGACGTTGCTACGGTTTTCTCGCGCTGGCAGGCTTGAAGAGGGGGGTGCAGGGAAAAGGGGATGACGGAGACGCAGGGGAAGAGGACAACGGATACGTCGACTGAGCGCGCGCCGACAGGGGGTCCACACGCCGACAGGGTCGGCGGGTTCTCATAACGATAAGATTAGAAGTAGCAATAAAAGAAGAGTAATTTATGACTAATACGAAGGAGCACTAATACTGTTAATAATAAAAGGAGGAATGATGGAGCTCCTCAGTAGAACCAACTTGCCTGATTCACTCTAGATCTTGGGTATCGCCCTGACGCCAGTAGCATGTTCTGCACCGATTCCAGTACCAGCGGCAGCTGCGGTGTCGGCGCGCGGTGTGCGGCGGTGGCTGCGGTTCAGTCGAGACTGCCGAATCCAGGGTAGCCTCGTGTCCTGTGGTTCGCGACCCATGCATTTTACATTCTATAGCTATGTGGCCCTCGGCTCGGGAGGGTCT